CGCCCCTCGTTTCGCCCCCCCCTAAGAAAATACCCTGGCGCCGCCCCTGCACACACGCACTAACACACTCGCTAACACACGCACACACTGTCTTGTGACACACAGCAGACAAAAACTGACCACGCAGCTGATCTGTGTGCCAGTGTAATAAAAGCCAACACTCTAATGCACTGCATCACAATACCCAGTGTACAATACCCAAATTAAGACCTAATTAAGACCTAATTAAGACCTAATTAAGACTTAACAGCTCTATTTCATCGTGACATTCAATAAACCATGATTAGGTGAGCATACCTCGGGGGTGTAGACGTATATTGCCTGGAATGCCCCGGATACAAACGCTCGCGCTACGAAGATGAAGAACGTCAGCATGCCCCTGCAATAAGCACCACAACAACATCATCTCTACGTCTCATCACAAACACGACGCACATCCGCACAGGGATATAATAAACACGCTAAAACATAGACGTACATCGATCATCATCCCCATCATCATCATCGTCACCATCGTCATCGTTGTCATCATCATCATCGTCATCATCATCATCATCATCATCATCATCATCATCATCACAACCATCGTCGTTGTCATCATCATCATCATCACCATCATCACCATCATCGTCGTTGTCATCATCATCATCATCACCATCATCACCATCGTCATCGTTGTCATCATCATCATCATCATCATCATCATCATCGTCATCGTCATCGTCACCGTCGTCGACGTCGCCATCATCACCATCATCAGTACATCATCAGTACATCAACCATCAGCGATGCTGAGAGGGTCTATGTCCCCCAGGGTACGTTCCGGCAGTACCCTGGGGGACATAGACCCTATGACCGTCAGCGATACATACAGCAATCTCGAGGCATTCACTCGTGTGCCACACACATTCTCTCTTCATACACGCCAACCATCTGTATCGTTATCGACAACCGTTATTGGTCAGTGACTGCAGTTACCACGGATACCGGCCACGTTGATGTCGACTGTTACTAGCACGGATTTTATAAAGTGGTTCAATTGATTCCCTTTGTGATGACATTGGGTGATTTTTGCTCGCATTGATATCGATGGAATTTATTTTCGTTGTATCAAAAGCGGTGGTTTCTATATTGGTTGCGGCAGTCAACACTGGTAGCAGCAAGTAACACATGTAGTCTTACTATCCCAGGTTCTTGTGCAGCAAAGTCACTGCCTTCGTTCACCCGTTTGCTTTTATTTTGTTTCGGTTGCTACGGCTTTTTACTCGTGCGATGGCCCGAGTGAGATACCCATCTGCTGCACAGTCAACCGTCACTCAAGGAAACCTCTCAGTGTCCTTTCTAGACAGGTGTCCATTCTACTGAGGCGACCACTAAAGCAGGTTTAGCTCTGTACATTATGAGTGATTTCAGCTGCGCTCAGTGAGGTAACACAGGCTTTTACACTCACCTAGTGCTACACATGAACAGGAGGAAGGTGAAGAGAGGTAACACTGGCTTTTACACTCACCTAGTGCTGCACATGAAGAGGAGGAAGGTGAAGAGAGGTAACACTGGCTTTTACACTCACCTAGTGCTGCACATGAAGAGGAGGAAGGTGAAGAGCGGTAACACAGGCTTTTACACTCACCTAGTGCTGCACATGAAGAGGAGGAAGGTGAAGAGAGGTAACACAGGCTTTTACACTCACCTAGTGCTGCACATGAAGAGGAGGAAGGTGAAGAGAGGTAACACAGGCTTTTACACTCACCTAGTGCTGCACATGAAGAGGAGGAAGGTGAAGAGAGTAACCACTGCTTGTACACTCACCCTAGTGCCACCACATGAGAGGAGGAGGTGAAGAGAGGTAACACAGGTTCTGGTACACTTCACCTATGCTGCACCATGACGAGGAGGCGAAGGTGAAGAGACGTAATCACAGCGCTTGTACACTCAAACCGTATGCCCTGCACCATGCAAGCAGCAGAGCTGTTGAAGAGCGAAAGAGAGCCAACACTCTTACAGCCATCGTTTTCTTCCTGCGATGCGATCGATGATGAAGAAGTAACGAGGAGACCTGGCAAGCGTTGCCTGAATTATATGTCACATATATCAGAAAATACAGGAGCGAAATTGAGAGCAGTAGAGGGGGAAGAAAGGCAACGTGAGAGATAGAGAGGAAGAAGCAACGTGAGAAGAAGAGAGAGAGAGAGACAGAGAGAGAAAGAGGGGAGCCGAGGACCGTGAGAGGAGAGAGAGATACGAGGAAAAGAAAGAGAGAGCAAAGACAAAGAGAGAGAGAGAGAGAGTGAGAAATAGATAAGATAGCTAGACAGAGCGAGAAAGAGAGAACGGGACAGGGGGAGAGAGAGACAGTAAAGAGAGAACGAGACGAGAGACCGGACAGCGAGAGAGAGAGAGAAGGGGGTGAGAGGATGAGGGAGAGGTGAGAGAGAGGGAACGAGGGAAAGAGAGGAAAGATGAAGGGAGAAAGGAGGAAGAGAAAAGAGGAGCGAGGGGGGAGAGGGAGAGAAGATGTGAGAGAAAGGTGAGAGCGGAGAGAGACGAGAGTGAGATGTGTTAGAGACGAGCCTGAGAGGAGACGAGAACGAGAGAGCAGGAGAGAGAGAGTTAGAGGAGACGAGAGAGGAGAGAGAAGAGAGAGGAGAAGGAGAGAGAGAGAGAGAGAGAGAGGGAGAGCGAGAGAGAGAGAAGAGAGAGAGAGCAAGAGAGAAGAGCAGAAGAGAGAGAAGAGAGAGGAGAGATGAGACGATGAGAGGAGAGAGAGAGAGAGAGAGCAGAGAAGCGAGAGAGAGAAGACGAGAGAGAGAGAGAGAATGAGAGATAGATGGGGGTGAGATATTATGTATATGCGACAATTAGTGTGTTAGCTATGATATAAATCATGCACAGCTTAGTAAGAAACACGAGTAGAGAATGGAAGAAGAGGGGACATGGGGAAGAGAGAGGGAAAGAGAAGGAAAGAGAGAGAGAGAGAGGGAGAGGGAAGGAGGGAGGGAGGGATGGAGTGAGGCAGCGACGGTGAGAGAGAGAGAGAGGGATGGAGGGATGGAGGGAGGGTGTGAGAGAGAGAGAGATGGAGAGGGAGGGAGGGATGGAGGGAGGCAGGGAGGGTGTGAGAGAGAGAGAGAGGGAGAGGGAGGGAGGGATGGAGGGAGACAGGAAGGGTGTGAGAGAGAGAGAGAGGAAGAAAACCACTGAGGAAAGAAAGATGGTCAGCTGTCTGTCGCACACACACCTGGACCCTCAGCTAGCGTCGTCCACAGAAGGTCCGTGTAATCTTTCTTCGACAGCGCTCGGCAGGTGAGGTAACAGCTCGCTTCAGCCAATGGTGGACTTACATCACCGCCTGTCAACACATCGGCGGGTTAAAATTGATCAACCTCGCAACAAAACGCGAAATACACCTACTGCGAGCATACTTGCAGTACAATTCCACAATTTTGTACTGAACAAACATCGAATAATGAATTATAACTTGTTCTAGCATAGAAAAGAACTGTTAATGAAAACTGCGATCGCTCGGCTATGTCCCGGATGTGCAAACACTGTGTAAACATTAAAAGCACTAGTTTTGTAAGACTGTTTAGGTTTGCTGAAGAAATGTTGTGAAAGTAGCAATACAAATAAGTTGTAGTGAATTTTTGCAACATGGACAAGCTCACAGTAGGTATATCTTTGCATTTTGCTGCGAGAACATGCCGTTTTAAGCCTTGAAACCCAACCGCGTACATTACGTTGGGTATCACGTATTCCGCACTTCCTTATCTAACTTGCTCATCCACATTGGTTGATCCCATAGAATAGCACAGCAATAACAGCTAAACGTAAGTACACTATTACACATGCGGATTTGAAAGCGGTTGCTCTAACAGAACGTGAAGCTCAACCGTGTACTCTACTCACCATGACAACCATCAGAAGCCTCGAATAACTCAGTTGTCATAAGAACAAGTCCATAGTACGTAAATGCCGTCGCCAACCTGTGATAACCAGTAAAAATATTCATTACTAACTATGATCAGTAATAACACTAAACTGATATCGATGATGATGATGATATTGAGGATGATTAGACTGGTTATGAAGGGTTCTTTTTACTAAATTGTGGCGTATGCTACTAATACAAGTGGTGGAAGCAGAGGATGGCACTATCTCCCATCGTTTACACCATTTGCTAATCGTTAGAAAAACGCCAATCAAGACATGTGAATTTATTCTACCTATGACCCTATAGTGACGCGATGGTAGGTGTAATGGTAACAACAGAGCAGGAGGCAATCAAATGACCTACCATATGAACCAAAGCAATATCGTGACGTATCTCGTCTCTGGTATGAACAAATCTGATACTCTTCCCCTCTTCCCCGTCTGAATGAAAAACATCAACTAGTCGTGGGAATCGATTCAAATGTTACGATTGATCACTGGTTGTGGAGAGTGGTTGGTGATCGCCGACATACGACCTCTGTGAAAACATTGCTGCAAACGTCAATTTATAAAAACTTATAACAAAAAAATTAGTAAGTCTGCAGCAGCGAAAACATTTTGAAATGACCCACAGAGGAGATTTCGAACAATCAATGGACGAGTTTCGCAAGAATAAAGAGGAAGTCATTTTACTGAAATTCAGCCCAGTTTTCTTGTGTCCGTATTTGGAACAACAGCCATTCCTTTATAATCACCACAGAGAGGTGAGGAGGGACTACCTTACCTGCGTGGAAGCGACTATTCTTCCTAGAGGCATCGGTCGATTGTTGTCACGAGCCACCCGCTCCAACACGGCGACAGCCTTCTCTGGATGGCCTGACGCAATGTGGTACCTCGCGCTCTCAGGTAACCACTGAAACATGTGGGAGATGTGATTAATGCTAGAGGTTAGCTAGATATGAGAGTAAGAAGTACGTGTGAGAAAGAGATACAGAGAGAGAGAGTAAGAGAGAGAAAGTGAGAGAGAGAGAGAGAGAGAAAGTGAGCGAGAGGGAGAGAGAGAGGGAGAGAGAGAGAGAGAGAGATAGAGGAGACGAGAAGAGAGAAAGAGAGAGAGAGAGAAGGAGAGAGAAGAGAGAGAGTAGTGAGAAGAGAGAGAGAGAGAGAGAGAGAGAGAGAAAGAGAGAGAGAGATTAGAGGAGACGAGAGAGAGAGAGCAGAAGAGAGAGGAGAGAGAGAGAAATGAGAGAGGAGAGAGAGAGAGAGAGCAAGAGAGAGAGAGAGATGAGAGAGAGAGAGAGGCACGTAAGCATGAGAAGAGAGAAGAAGAGAGAAGACGACGAGCCAAGACCGAGACAGAGAGTGAGATGACCGAGCACGACAGAGAGATGAGAGAGAGAGAGAGAGAGCACGAGAAGAGAGAGAAGCCGCGAGAGAGAGAAGAAGAACGGAGAAGCCCGAGAGAGAGAGAGAGAAGCAGAGAAGAGAGAATGAGAGAGAGAGAGAAGACAGCATAGAGAGAGCATGAGAGATTAATGGGGAGAGACAAGCTACCAACGCAGCTACTAGTGAGGTTATTGTTCAGCATTGCTCTCTGCGGATGCATCTCGTGCTGCATTCGTGCTAACACTTGCCCTAACTACTACACTTACTACTATACTACTATACTGCTAACATACTACTTACTACTAGCTACTGCTAGGCATACTACTTACTTACCACACACGTGAGAGAGATGGCCAGTGGCAGCACCGCAGAGAAGATGAGCAACCAGCCGCCAACCATCGTCGGCATCACACAACAGAGCCAGCAGCAACCTCGAGCAAGTGCCTATCACCCAAACACCTGCTAAGAATGCATTACAACTCACGCTCGCACTCCACTCAAACACAGCTGATACCTGTGTAGACAGTCTCACCACACACCAACTCTGTCGGCTATTCGTTTAGTTTTGTCTGCGCGCTGCTTAATATGAAAGATTAATTCGATGGCGTACAGGCAGCAGAAGTATACTAATGATTGCTGCTTAAGGTAAAAAATATGACACATTTTACTTCTACGACCATACGTTCCTCGACGAAGAGGACGTAACAGTGTTAAAGAGTAGCAGTTATCATTGTCCTGCAATGAGGTGGGTGCATGTAGTTGCATTTGTAACAATCCACTGACCTCTGACATGCGACGACACACCTTGGCTCTCGCGTCTTGACGCAGAATTCTGCATACAGCGTCACCCTGAAGCAGAAAACGATGGCCACACTCGTTGTCAAGTACAAAGACACTACGCCGTTTCCAAACGCAACAGATGATAAACTTTCCGCACCTCTACACATATCTCCCGCAGCGTTTCTCACACGCGGTACTATCATGCACAATAAGTCTCGCATCGCACAGCCACAGACGATAGCTTAATCCTCAATTATAAGTCATGCAATAGTAAGAAATAATGAGAAAAAGTCGTGTCTGATCCGTAAGATCTGACCAATTGTAACATTCGCGACGAGTCCTTGCTCGCGGTGCTCCGACTAAAACCGCGATGGAATCTCTGCCGCATTCGTTATACTTACGATCTGAGGAGCGCCCCTACACCAAAATCCGACGAGACCGCGGAGAAGCAGCAATCCAGACGAGCTTGGTGGCAAAGAACTCAAGTAGACCAAAGTAGAACTCCACACTGAGCAGAATATCAGCTCTGCAAACATCACATGCAGGAAGGCGCGGCATCAGAGTGACGATTTCTATACTAATACTGAACAAAGCATAATTTATTATATTATACATATATATATAATGTATAATACACACACACACATATATTATATATCAGTATATCAATAACATATATTATTCAGCAATACAAGCACTATGCCATAAGTGCATGTTGCGCTGCGTTGCAATGGCACAGTCACAGTTCTCGAACACTTACCCACTAATACTCAGCAACTCGGGTCACTCGTTGCGTAAACACGCTACTCTCCTTCATCTAATCAAGTATTGATGTAAAAGAGCAGGCGACAGGCGGGGGGCGACGTCGATTCAAGCGTTAGGAATCATCGACGAATCGTTACGCAACAATGCACGGAGAGAGA